CTCTCTCTTTCTTTCTTTCTTTCTTTCTTTCTTTCTTTCTTTCTTTCTTTCCCTCCTTTCATTCTTTCCTTTTCTTCTTTCCCTCCTTTCCATCTCTCTTTTTCTTTCTTTCCTCCGTGCCTTCTATTTCCTTCCTTCTTTCCTTCTCTTTCTTTCCCTCTTTCCTTCCTTCGTTTCTTCTCTCTTCTCTCTCTCTCTTTCCTTCCCTCTTTCCTCCTTCTGCGGTTCAACTCTGCTTCCCCTCCCCCCGCTGGCTGAAGAAAGGAAGGGGAGGCTTTTGAAGATGCCTTCCCCCCCTTTTGCTTTCCCTTCTGACATCACTTCCGGTGATGTCAGGGGGCATTGCATATGCTAATGAGCTCCTCCAGCTCTTTTTCTACGAAATGACCCCTGCTTGCACCTATTAACTTAATAGTTTTAATACTAAATATCATACAAAATACATGAATTAATCATGCAGAATAATGGAAGACACTGAGTTATAAAATTTTATGAGTAATTAAAGTGAACCTGTAGTGGATAATTAATTACCTGTATTGCTTTTACATCTGTACTTTTTGTACTTAAAATCATAGAGGGAGATGCTGAATTGATGAGATTCTGCAATATACCCTTAAGTTTCTTTGATGCTGTAGTATTCCCATCTGTCTGGACCTAGAAAGAGAACAACTGCATTGCTTACAAACCCAGAAAAGTCATGAGAAAAAGCTTTCACCATCCTTTCTGTAAGCATACGACTTTGCTCACTTAAGACTTCTGGAGCTATTTGCTCTACAAGAACTTACCACAAAACAGACATTTGCTCCTCCTTTTCTGCTAGTGAAATGCTAAAGCTGGAATTTATAGGCTGAGGCAGATGTACAGACATAGGTACTTTCTAACCCCATGATATGCAGTCTAACACAAAGCAAAGTGGATGTTTTGGAAGTTACCTAACATGCAGTACAGATTGGGAGGTCAGATCATGATTCCACATCTCTTCAAACTTTCTAATAGCAAATGTTGGTTATGGGGTGGAACCAAGAAAAATTAGAGTAGGAGCATCACATTAGGGGAAATTCTACCCAGTATAAGCTTTCTCTTAAGCTAGTATTTGCCTCAATTTGGTGACCTTATATTTCTTCTACTGGGGCAAATTTACACTGGGGAAAGCGTTAACCCCTGATTAATTTGTCCTTTTCCCCATGGCTGCTATTAACAAAATGAAGAAATGGGAGACCTGATCAAGCTATCTCCAATGCCTCATATAGTTTGACCTCTGTTACATATAATAGGTTGTGCCATTTTTACTGACTCATTAATTTTAGAATCTTTATAAAGAGAACTAATATTGATTACTCATTTTCAAGTTACCTGGTGCAAAAAAGTTTGGTTTTGATTACATCAGTAATAGCATGTTATTTCTATACCTAATTCACCTTGAAAGGTTTAAGTGAGTGACTAGAAGTCCAAGCTCCTAAGCAGAAACCCTACAACATTTGTAGAATTCAAAGGCAAGGAAACTGAGTAAATCATGAAAGCAAGACTCAGAGGACAGGTCAGTACAGCATTTTCACAACAAAATAATTTTGAGGGGGGAAAGTACAGAGCAGTAGGTTTACTGGCTTACAAAGCCCTAAGTACTACATTCCTTGCAGTCAAAGAATGCTAACATGAGATTATAAAGCCACAATGTTTTTTTATTAGGACAACATTGCCAGCCGCCAGAAAACAAGTAATAAGTATTAAGCCAAGGCCCAGAAAAGAAATCACACTGATTGGCTTGAATCTTGGCAAGCCCCCACTACAAGTCATTAGTGAAATTGCTGATCCACATTGCTCACCACAAAGGGTCTGCAGTCAGAATGCTGCATTTTCAATACTTGCCAACTAGGCACAATGAGCAACCTTGAGAATATTCAGCATTATATAGAAAAGCAAGTCCTTTGCTCGAGAAGTCCAAGTCATTTGTGATGATCATCCACATACAACAGAATCACCCATGGATGACAATGTATTTTTCAAAATATACAACTAAGATCACAAGATACAGGACATGTCTGAAACATGCTACTTCCACCCTCAAAGTGTTTAGTGTTGAAAACTTCAACCATACATAACATTTATCCTTAAGTGTTATGTTGGCATTTAAGTTACATCAACACTTGTTTGGAGGTTCTTTTTCCTGCTGTTGAATATCTAGTACTAGACTATGTCTAGAATCCAACTCAAGAATGGTTATTATGCATGCATGGCAGCCCCTTGTACCTTTTGGGGTGTCAATCCAAAATGGTCTCTGATTCTGGTAGTAGCTTTTTAGCAGGTTGATACTAGAAAGGGCAGCTTAAAAGCTCCTGTGTGCAAGAAGACCACATGATGGAGGATGAATACCACCCAATAAACCATTTTCTTTTTGCTCCACAAGCTGCTTTTCAAAACTTCCAAGTTTTAGAATCAGCTTGGCCTGTAGTTCAGGAGACTGATCTTCATCATAGGTATGGAAATTCAGCTGTGTGTGTGGAGTTAGGCATATTCCTCCATATTGTGGCTAACAGTAAGATATTTTTGTAGGCAGTTACTGCAATGGGAGCAGAAGCTTTTACTTACTCATACAATTCATGTATCAACAACCTTTAATTCTAGCCCTTTAATAGAAAATTCCAAAGCAGAACACTGAAGGATTGCATTTTTACATCCAATTTCAAAGCGTATTTGCTTGGAAGCAAAGAAACCATTTTAAAGAGGAATAGGCACCTTTAATGGGTTACTGGAAAACCCTGACCAGTTTGATCTGGATTTTACATACTGATAATCTAATGGGTTACTGGAAAACCCTGACCAGTTTGATCTGGATTTTACATACTGATAATCTTTAACTGTGATAAGTTAGATATAAGCAACTACTGCCAAACGTACCTGTTGCAGTATTATAGGCTTGACTTCAGTGTTTGTTTCTGAGGTGTGTATGAAAGACCACTTGACCTGGATGTCTTCTTCTCTGGCTTTCATTGAAAGTTCCAGCTGTTGATATATTAAATGTGCCACTTCAGTTTTGCCAGAGTGAACAGATTTATGCTTCAGTTCTAGACATACTCAGCAATTCAGTTGTCAACCACTGTGCTTGCTCATTGCCAGTTATAGAATATTTTGTGCTGTTCTTTGCCAGTTATAGAATATTTTGTGCTGTTCTTTGCCTTAACAGCCAAACATGGAACTCAGCTGCATGCATGATTCATTTGACCACAGCCATTTTCTCAGTTGTAGATTACAGCAGCTTGCTGTGTTTACCCTGAGCCATAGCAATCACTAATTTCCAATCAGTACTACTGTTAAAAATAAGTGCTGTTCCTCTAGGTTGTTCTGGTAATTGTTTTGTAAAACAGAATTTTCTTAAGAAGCATTTCTTTCAGCAAAAGTCAGCTTTTCCACCTTGAATGAGCCACCCACCCACTGAACTTCACAGCCCTATTGACTATTAATAGGATTCCAATATTCACCTAATAAAATCAGTGAAAGCTTAAAAAGAAACTTAATTTTGGATAAATATGCTTTTTTCACAAAAAAACAACAACAGTGTAATAACTGGATAATAAACCAAGTCTCAGTATTTAGTACACAGTCCCCAACTACCTGAACATTGAATGAAATCTTTTAAAAAGAAAACGTACTACTGAGTCAGAAATAGAACATATGGAATATCTTTTTTTGTTTTAAATTAAGTGCTTTTTAATAAGCCAGACTTTTAGAGGCCAGCTTGACATGAATAATTTCAGTTGTGAAAATAATATCATTTAGGGTTGCCAGCCTCCAGGTGGGAAATACCAAAAATCAACAAATACCATGCTACAGATGATTACAAAGTAACTCAAGTATTTTTTTTGTTTTTATATTATTTTTCTATATTTCTATTAAATTATTCACCATTATATTAATTATCACATTAACATATAGAAAAAGTCATATATCCAAACACCTAAGTATCAGCCTGGAGATACTTTTACAACTGATCTCCAGCTGACAGAGATCAGCTCCCCTGGAGAAAATGGCTGCTTTGAAGGGTGGACTCTGTGGCATTGTACCATGCTGAGGCCCCTCCCCTTCCCAAACCCTGCCCTCTCCCAGATCCACCCCCAAAGTCTCCAGGTATTTTCCAACCCAGACCTGGCAACCTTAATATCACTATGTACTCGATCAAAGCTTGCAAGTTAGCCAGTGTTAGCTGGTATATGTGAAAGGGATTTTTTAATCCTGCCTTTCCCCCAAAGGGCCCAAGATTACTCTAATGATGTCAGCATGTGATAATACAAATGAAACAATCCACACAATTAAGCATCAGCAATATATCTAACAAGGGTGGACCCACAAGAAACTTGCGGAGAGGAGGTATTCCCCCACCTTTGCTTCCTTTCCTCCCCCCCACTTTCTTTCTCTCCCCAAGCAAATCCCTCCTTTTTCTTTACAACCATCCACCAAGTCGATATCTCTCTCCCCCCCGCAAGCCATCCCCTTTCTTTCTCCCCCCCCATGCAAATACCCTCATCTTTCCCTTTCTCTTCCCCCCCCCCCAAGCCAATCACCCCTTTCTTTCTCCCTTCCTTTCCCCCTAACTTTGAGCCCGGGGGGAGCCAACGGTGGTCCGGCCCCCGCAAAAACCCCCCCCGCCGCTCTTTGCTCCTAGCTCCCCAAAAGCAGAAAAGTCCTAGCTCCCCAAAAGCAGAAAAGCCTGCGAAGGCCTCGTCGCTAGGAAAGCCATTGCTAAGGGCAGTCACGTGCTCAGAACTTTCCAAGGAGAGAGAGGGAGAGGGAGAGAAAGCTCCTCGTGGTTGATAAGTCCTTTCTCTGCACATGAGCAGAAAAAGCTGTTGTACTTTTGGGAGGATTTAAATATCCCCCGTATCCTTTTTTAAAGTTTTCAGATTTTTCTGCACATCTGGGGGGTGCCCCAAATGTGCAGGATAATCTCTTTTCCCTCCATGTGCCCCTGATCTGCGGAAATAAGTATCCGCATGCAGGGGGCCATGTTGGGAATTAGATATATAGATGCTGAGGGTATCTCATCCTCAAATCTGAATACTTGCATCCGAAGACTGGAGCCATGACAGACAAGAGAGATCTTTCTACAAACCTGAAAAAGCCTCAGGTCTACATAAAAATTTGAGGTTTTAGAAATACGTTAGGGGTTTATAACAATCCAAAATAAAAGAACCAGTACTTGTAGCTGTAAGAACCAAACCCTTTTCAGTGGCCATTGTGGGGGTTGCTAAGCAGCCACAAGTACTGCCAGCCTTCAAGTTTTGGTTTATGACAGCAATTGGCAGAGGAAGGGTCAGGGTCCTTTCCAGGGTTATTTTTGCCATTGAGGAAGGAACTCATATGAGCCAGACCTAGAAGCAACCGCCAGGTGCCTTTCTATCACACAACCTGCACGACTTGCCCAGGACCAGCTGCTTGCTACCATTCAACACCAGCTAACCCACAGAAGCCAGTGTGGTGTAGTGGCTACAGTTTCAGGTTAGGATCTAAAAGATCCAGATTCGAATCCCCACTCTGCCATGAAAGCTACCAGTCATACATACACAGTATAACCTAACTCACAGGGTTGTTGTGAGGATAAAACGGAGCAGTATGATTTAAACTGCTTTGAGCTCCCATTATAGAGAAAGAGGCATAAATGAAGCAAATAACTAATATAGCTGAAGATGGGGGACAGGTAAAAGGTAGGTAAGATGGGTAGATGAATATAAAGCAGGGAAAGGTGAAGATATAGGGAAAGAGGAGAAAGTGTGGGGAGATACAAAGGGAAGAGAGGTGCCCCCTGCAAGTCCTTGTGGATTCTCCACCATGCAACTGGACGATAGTTTTCCCAGGCAGAGATTGATAAGAGTAGGGAAGGAGGGAGAGTTGAAGATAGTGGGACAGCTAAAGGTAAATTGGCTGGTGGGCAGAAGGAGAAAAGGAAACAGGCAAATGGGAGAGGATGTGGGGGCTTTCAGGGTAACAAAAGAAGAAATAATGGGCAAGGAGAAAATGAGATACTCCCACAAGTCCTCGTGGGTCCCCCCATTTATTAATTACATGTCACAAAAAAGCAAATCTGGCTTATATACTAAACTTCATCTATACATTCCCTCACATTGCAGTAGTTTGCATCTTTTCTTGTCAAAGATGGTGCCCATCCAATCTCCTTTGGGAAGGCCATTTCATAATGTAACTATGACTGTTCTGACTGAGGCAGATCAAACATTCCACACAGAGACGGAGAATGATGGAATGAGAAATCAGAAACTGGGAGGAGCAGTGCAACTGGTATACAGATTAATATCAAGAGATTACTCTTTGTATACTCATCACATACAAAAGCCTCCATACTTTTTCCATGACCAGGAATTTTGGGATGTGTACATACATTGCCTGTTTTAACGCCCTCATGTTCATTCTGTGCAGAAATTACCCCTCAGCATTTTTTACCACAAGACTGAAACATCCAAATAGCATAAAGCTTTCTTGATTGTCTTTTAATAAGGCCTGCCTCTTGCCACCTTGCACAATATTGACTTATATCCCAAGGAGAGTGGGGCACCCTTTCGAAAGCCTTTGGGATGTCAGCCAAGAGCAGCTTAAACCTATCTAATCATGTGTTCTTTATACAGACATTAGGAAGAAGAGAGAAGCTAGTTAAGTGGGTGGGATTCTCATTTTGCTTCTCTCTCCTCCCTGATGACTATACAGTGAACAGCCCATAGAACATAAGACCACCACCATATTGTATACTTTGAAATGACCTGAATGGGGATCATTGGAAACTAGGCAACTAAAGTGTGTGTCCCCTTCATATCAATACAAAATAAAATAAATTTGCTTGAAATACACACACACACACACACACACACATAGACCTTTATTGGCATAACACAGGAACAATAAGGAAGGCAATGGAACAAATAAATCTAAATACAACTTCAGTCCTATTGTGTATTGAATAACAGGTGAATATCCTAATTTATGGCATTAATATGCCTACCAATTTAAGCTTTTTATGGCTACTTATACTCAAATGCTCTGTTATGCTACAGATACCAATAAATCACATATTTCAGCTTATATAAAAAACTTAGGCATCCATAAAAGCCTAAACTACTGGTTAAAAAAGACTGAGCTTTGATTCTCAGGATCAAAAAAATCCTGACAGATTCATCCAAACATACTCATGACAACTGTCTTGCATTCCCTCCCCCCTCCTTTTGCCCTGAACAGTATTTGCAACAGGCTGGACATATTCCTAAAGACAAAATTAAAATTTAGGTTTAAAAAGCTACTACAGATCAGTATGTTTCAGTCTGTGCTTTTATAAGACATCTGGAGATTTTTCAGGTATCAGAACCTGTAAATCCCAGCATAAAAGTTCTAGGAACTTAAGACAACCTGGGATTTTTTTCCCCCAGCATCAGCAAAGCTGGGGTGCCAATTCTTGGAGATCTGGGAGGGCAGAGAGCTCAGCAGGGAAGTGGTGTCACATCCAGTGATCCCACAGCCTGGCCAAAATAATCTTCAACTCCCCCCTTTCCTGGGAGGTCACTTCCTCACACAAAAATCCAAACTTTAAATTTGTTTCCCACCTCGTTTCACTTTCCCCTTGCCTTTTCCTCCCATCTTATATCACTTGTAGACTTAAGAATGCATTTGTGTGTCACCGTTATCCTAAATATTTGTCCTGGTGTAATTAGATTGTAGCCAGTTAAGTTTCATTCAACCTAAAAATCTCTCCAGGTTTTCCCCTCATTGTTAAGGAGAAACACCACCCCCCCTCTGAAAGAGTGAGCCAGCCAACAGCAGTCTCATCACTCTCTCATTTCCCAACCATCCTCTGGCCTTTAGTGTCTTTACAGAAAACCATCAATTTCTCACTCTTCTCTATGGTATATCATAAAAGGAAGTCTTAGAGCCTCCACCCTCCATAACTACTCTAGGCCTTCTGCTTCTTCTAGTCTTTATGGTAGAACTTACACAGAAGTCAAAATATTACCTGCAAATGAAATGGTGACAGTTTTACTCTGTAAGACCGACATTCTGCAGGAGCAAGTGAAGGATGGATCACATTGACTATAAACTGAATAGCATTTCCAGCTATGTTACAAGAGACCACCTGGAATAAAAACATGGCTTTAGTTAGAGATTGGAGATATTAATAAAGGAAACTAGCCAAAGTATTTATTTCAGTGCTAAATTGCTGGCATTTCTCAACCACTGTTCAAATGTTGACCACTGTAATACATTACCAACACTTGCAACATAAAAGGAATACAGATATTTTCTCTTTTTTTACAAACAAAGCCAGTCTCTTTCAGCAACATGTGATTCTAAAATTAGATGGAGGGTTTTTTAAGAGCAAATTTCTTGTACTGTCATGACAATGTTGCACATAGGAAAGTTCTAGTTAATTTTTTAAGCTACAGGAGAGTTGTTACCACATCACAGGCAATGACCACCATAAATCCTACTGCTTTCCATAAGACTTTGAACAACTAGAATAGGTTTAACTGGGTAGAAAGCTCACACATTTGGAGAATGGACAGAGGACAGGATTGTGGTGGTAAACTCTGTCCTTAATTGGAACACATGTGTGGAGATCACATACACAGAATGTATGTGCATAATCTTCTCTTTGCACCACTAGGAATCCAAAAAAGCATGGCGAGCACTGTACAAAGGGTCGCTATACATATGTTGTAAGAAACTAATGGTCATGAGTAGAACTTGCCTTCTGTTTTGCACATGTGCCCCTCTTCCAGGTCCACAAAAACTGACTACACCTGCTTAAGAGTCTGAAAAGGGCTTTAGGTATGACTAACTGTAGCTGGATCCAAATCTGTCAATCGTGAACTTCACAATCATATGCAAAGCAACCCTCATCTTAATCAGCAGTTACATGAAGGTATATTTATGAAATTATATGTGTTCTGCAATGTGCAAAATAGGTCAGTAACAGCTAATAAAAACATCCTAAGAGCCCTCCCCATCCCCACATTTCTGAAAAGCAAAACGAATTTCACATGTTCTAGAATGTTCTTGCAGTTTGGCGCAAACATATAACTTTCTGATGCAAATGTATCTAATAGTATTTTCACCATCTTATAAGAACACAAAAAATATTGTTTTACTTGCTAGTTTTGTAGCTACAGATTCAATTTGTAAAGCTGGGCTGGAATTGTGGGACCAAACAAAAAAAATATTATCGTTCCTATTTCTGACAAGACTTGAAGTAAACTTTTTCAAACTAAACCAAGAAACCACCACAGTAGTGTGCACATCTATGACCCCACTAGCAAGCATGGGAAAGCTTCCCCTTTATTTCTTTCCTACATTTGAAAATGCTAATGGCAGACTATACCTCTCTCATACTTCTTGCCTTTCTTTCTCAAGATATCCTCTTTTCCAAGAACGGCTTGGCCAAGTTATTCCTATTAAATATTTGCTGCCAATTTACTTTTAAAAATGGAAGAAATCTTTTACTTACACTATTTAACTACTTCTCAGGCATCACTTTTTAAACACATTGGCACCAAGTAAACCATCAAAATAAGGAAAGCACTCAGGGGATACACTCTCGAATTAGAGCAGAAACCTTCTCCAGTGCTCTGATTAATCTAAGTTAGTTTTCCTTTGGATTCATGTAAAGATAATGGGGTATTACTTTCAACATAGCTAAGTTTTCTTTAGTGACTTAAGACGCAGGAAAAATAGCAAAAGCATTCTGTCTATAAACATACACTCCTATGTAACAAACCAGTTATTAGTTACGACTGAGTACACAACACTGAAAGTTCTTACATCTCAAGCCACATAACAGGTAAACATTAAGTTACTTCACAGCTGTATTATTCAAAAACTGCAAAATGTGTCTGAAGTCCTTTATGGTGGTCTTGCTCAGGCTTAAGTAGTACTCATTGCACGATACGGCAATGAAGAATAGTTTCTAAAATATTTGACCCAGTTTTAAAAGTAACATGGGAAACAGCAAACATCGTTTTCCTAGTCAAATGCTATTTCAGTTTACCCAACAACATATAATCCAAGTAAATTACTTGCTTGGCTTCAGAATTCCAAACCATTTTCCCTCAGTTACTGAACAACACTTACAACATTTGATTACTTGTTATGCAAGTACCTTTCTTCATGTAGAGAATTATCTAGATTGCACAAACTGTCCTATGATAGTCAGTCAGATGGATGGCTTTGTTTTGCATTAGGTTTGGAGTTAATGATGTATATGCCCCTTTCAACCCATAGAAAACTTCAACCTAATACTTTTTACCCTTCAACCCTTAGAAACAGGCAGTTCAAACCTTCAAATGGAGCTGGTTTGCAAACTAATGGGAGAAAACTCTGCACAGTAGATACTCGTCTCTAGTGAACAGGTGGAAACTCAGATAAGCCAGGCTGCTCCTGTTTCAGAAGACTCCATGGACATTCTGAGATAAGAAAAAGCATTCACTTATGAAAGCTGTTTTATGCTGCAGCTAGGCTGATTTGAAATATAAGTACATAAAAACATAAGAGAAGCCAATGTTGGATCAGGCCAATGGCCCATCCAGTCCAACACTGTGTCACACAGTGGCCAAAAATACTAGGTGCCATCAGAAGGTT